GGGGTAATGGCGTCCTCTGACCAGGGCTCCAAGCCAGCAGGGGCAGTCCCACCTCTGCCCCTTTGCCCCCAGTGAGAACACAATTCTCTGCTCCAGAATTAGCTGCTCCGGGACACAGCCAGAGGCACCTTCTGGGGCCCAGAGAAGGCTCCCATGACGAGCCACAGAACGGTCCCCAAAGACGCAGCCACTCAGTTACACCTAACCTGACGCGAGGAGGGGTCCCGGCCAGGGCTGACTGGTCCATCCGCACGGTGGCCACACGGTTCGTGGGTTCGAGCCCCGCATCGGGCTCTGTGCTGACGGCTCGGAGCCTGGAGCCTTCTCTCGATTCTGCGTCTCCCTCTCTCTTCGCCCTTCTCCTGCTCGCGGTGTCTCTATCTCTCAAGAATAAATACACATTAAAACAAATTAAAAAAAAAAAGAAAGGTCAGTGTCTCTGCAAACATCCCAAAAAAGAAGAAAATTCTTGACTCTTCATCTGGTACCTCAGGACTTGTCGTGTGTGTGTGTTCGGGGTCATTTCTAGGTTTGTGTACATGTTTGAAGGTGAGGCACGTAGCCCTGCGTGTATCTGTGTATAAGTGAACGGGCTACACTTGTGACACGTGCACACATATGGAGGCGCATGTATGCGCGTGTGTCTGCCTGTCCCCGCGAGCTCGGGTAGCTGTGGGTGTGTGCACGTGACTGAGGTCGTTGCGTCCCCCAGTGTCCACCAGCAAAGTCCCAGTTCATCATTTCCCCACGTTGCTCAAGAGAAACTGAGGCCCAAAGAGCTTCCCCAAGACCCAGGGCCATCCGGAAAGTCACTAACGGAGCCAGAAACCAGAAGTCTGATCTCCTGCCGCCCCCAAGATCCGCCACGAAGCTCAGGCCACCTCTCCGCGTACAAGGTCTGTCTGCAGGCCAGGCTGACCCTTTGCAGCGCTCGGGTCTGCTCCGGGTCCGAGGTGTAGCAGCCACCGACCCCGCTGTCAGGACCGGCCTCGAGAACGCAACAGAAAGTTCCCCGCAGCCTGAGATCCCCAACGCAGCAGGAAAGACCCCTACACATACCTTTCCGCTCCCTGTCTTTCGGTCTCTTTTTACCAAACGTTTCTTGATCTTTCTATTACCAAAGTCATGGATGCTCGCTTTTAAGAAAGAACTTAAGCTGAATAAAATAGCACCCTCAGATAAGCACTGTGACAACATCCAAAGGGCAGAAAGGGGAGGGAGAGGAGAATCGAACTGGCCAGGCCCAAGTCAGGCCTCGGCGCAAATGGGTGAAACCGAACACTAAGCCCAGACTGCCGGGGCTCTGGATGGAAACTCTGGACACGCAGTGCTCTGGACCCACACCAAGTGCCACCAGCCCACATCTGCCACTCGACCTTGACGCTCAAGTTAGGGCGCCTTGGGACCAACAGTCAGTCGCCTGGGATGCATTTAGTCCTCTCCGCCCCTTTTAGAGACGGGGAGACCGGGACTTTGCAGGGAGATAACTGTGGCTCTGGGGAGGAATTCGGCCAACCGGGCACCTCCCAGGGGCTGCCGGACCTCCGCCTCCAGCAGGAAGGCAGGGAGTACCCCAAGACCAGACAATATGAGTTGAATGAAGGAGAAAGAAGAGAGGAGGGGAAGAGAGAGAAGGAAACGGCGGACCGCGGCAGGATGAACCCCGGGCTGGCGTTAGAAGTCCCGGCTTCAAATCTGGGTTCTGTTGTCACCCAGCTGTGTGACCCTGGGCAGTCGCTGACCCCCTGAGTCTCAGCTTGCTCCTCCTCGCTGTGGGGATAAAAGCGCCAACTTCACGTCGGAACAATTGAGTGAATGCGGGAAGCACCGGGCACGAGGCCCAATAAATGATAGGTGCCCGATCAATGCTAATTAAACAGTGTGAGTTAGGGACAGAGGAGGAGAGCACGCTCCAGGCAGAGTGGCGGGGGGTCCCCCCAAACCTGCGGGCCTCAGAATTTGCTCTGTCTCGGGAGATTTGGGAAACCCATGCCTCTGAGCCAGCCCCATTTCCTGCCCAAATTAAACAGTAACCGCCCAAGGTCAGGGAAAGGGCCTTGTCGGAACAGGTTTCTCTCCGAGGGGCGGCTCGGCCTTGAGCAGATGGTCCCACCCCCACACCTGCCTATAAGTGTGTCCCTGCCCACCTCGACGGCCACTCGGTCCTGAGCCAGTCCCACTCGCAACATGTTGGGCTTCACCATCCTTGCCGCGCTCCTGGCCTGTGGTAAGCCGTGGGGCGGGGACTCGCTGTGGCCGGCAGGCTCTGTGCTCAGGCTGGCCTCCCCGGGGACAAGGAGAGCGGCGGGGGGCTCTCCCCAGTCCCAGGAAAGGGGATTTGGGGCGACCAGCTGTGTGTCAAACAAGCCACTCGCCTGCTGGGCAGCTCTTGTTTCCATATCTGCAAATTGGCTGATGATGTGGCCGGGGGACAGTCACCGCCTCATCCTGGGCTCTCTCCAGGGACCCTAAGGGCCTGGCTTTCTCAGCGTTGGCATCTCTTCCTTGGGGACCGATGCTTCGTTCACCCATTTTGGTGACCTTCTCCCAGACAGGAATCAAGGGACTTGGCTTGAATGTCACTTACTCTGGGCGGGACAACAACAAGCCACTTCACCTCTCTAGATCTCACTGGCTCCTTTGACAGATGAGAGCACTTGATTGAGAGTCCTTCCGGCTAACGACAACGACAGTCCTAAGTAACAATAGCAGCTTCCTGTTTGTTACATGTTTACCATATGCCAGGCACCGTGCTAAGCCCTTGACAGGCAGGAGCTGATTTGATTGGCGCAGCAACCTTGAACGGCAGGGTCTATCAACACCTCCATTTTACAGACGAGGAACTGAGGCTCAGCGAGGCTCAGGATCTTGCCTGAGATCACATGACTGGTTAACGGTAGAGCCGGAATTTGAGTCCCGGTTCTTCTCGCTGCAGAGCACAGGCTCCTGACCGCTCCACACAGCTCCCCAGCTCTGACGGTCTGGAACCCTGGATTCGGTGCTCACACACCCCCATTTTGCCGCGGTCTAAAAA